ACTTTAACATAAGGAACACCCTCCCGAAGTTTGGCACATTCCTCCTGGGACACCCTGTATATATATATATATATATACAGGGTGTCCCAGGAGGAATGGACCAAACTTCGGGAGGGTCAAATCATTCTATAGTACTGACTAGTGTGATAGACCAGAATGAATAAAGTTAAAAATGTTCTGACAATTTTCAAATTTAGGGAACCATTTTCATTCCCTATCCATTTATAATATAGTTCAGATACCAAAAGCACTGTAAAATATAAACCCTGAAACTTTCTATACAAAAAATCCATGTCAATAAAGCAAAAAATGTAAAAAACTGAAATTATGAAGAAATCAGTATAATAAGCAGAAATTCAGCTCCTGTGATGAACAGCTGTCATTAATTTCAAGAAATCAAAACTTTCAGTATATCCAACAAATAGCTTAATAGGAACAGCAATAAATTCACGTACACATGAACTCATCAGAAATAATTATAACAAAACACAAAGTTGGCTGATGCTAGCCAGAATCAAAGAGAAGAGGAATGCACGACAGCATTCACGTAGATCATAATCAGTACATATTCTTCTTACATTTTATCAGGAAAGCAGAACTTAAAGTATGCTTTTGAGCTTCCAAATGAAAGTGCTTTCTTTTAACACTTTGGGGACCGGTGGCATATTTTTATGCCCAGCGCTTTTAAACGTGGCAGACTGGTGGCATATTATTATGATTTTAGGACACGTTATGTTGAAACACACTATACCTTGCACTGGCGCCAGGCAGACACATGAATGGTGCGTGATAGACCTCTTGAATATTTGCTTTGTAGTTAGTAACATGACCCCGCTGTATATGACCCAGCTGTTTTCCTTTCCCACTCCAAAAAAAAATGCCTTTGTTCATCTTCCAGTTGCATGCACCAGGCAGGAAGTTACTAATGCAAAATGGATCAAGGTCGGAAGAGGTTGAGGTCCAAGCGTTTTCTTGGAGAACAAGAAATATCTTACTTCTTCTCCGATGAGCTATCTGACGTCCCTTGTGAGTCTGCTAGTGACAGCGACTCACAATCTGATAGTGAGTGTGGCAGGGGCGAACAAAAAATTGTGGCCACAGACAGTGAAAGTGAAAGTGAAAGTAAAAGTAACAGTAGCTCAGAGAAAAGTGCGGGTAGCAACACTCAGGGGACAGCCACATGGGGAAAAGTAGACAAAACGCCTGCTTTGGGACAGTTTACTGGAAATCCAGGGGTGAAGCAAATTCCATCGGACCCAACGCAAGTGTCTGAAGTAGTGGAACTGTTTTTCCACAATTCACAATTCACAATTCAAGCATGGTTGATGTTCAAAGGAGACATGGACAGGTAAAGAAGCCTGTTTGTATTTTCAAGTATATTATGTTCATGAAGGGAGTTGATAGAGCCGATCATTACTTGGTCTATTATTCTCTTCCTCGGAAAACAGTAAAGTGGGCAAAGAAAGTGGCCTTGTGGCTTATAAATTGTGCCATTTTTAATTCATTTTTGGTTTTCAAAAATCTAAACCCTCATTCAAAATTGAAATACAAGGCATTTCTGCCAAATGTGGCAAAAGCCTGGGCTACAGACCAGACGGTGGCGGCAGAACCGGTGGCAGACACAGACTTAGTGCGACCGGGTCCATCAACTTCTATCCCATGCAGGCCTCATGTGGACACCCCTGGGCGACTCTCGGGTGATATGAGGAAACATACCCTCATGAAAACTGTGAAGAGTGAACATGCTAAGGGGAAGCAGCCTTCTAGGTGATGCCGTGTTTGCGCAGTACACAACAAAAGGAGTATGACTGTCTATATGTTCAAGTTCTGTGTTATGCCACTTCACAAAGGGGAATGTTTCCAGAAACATCACACTCTCAAACACTTCTAGGAGCACTGGTAAGTGTTCTCCAAAAATTTTAGTTCACAAAATTAATTAGATTTTATATTAATTTTTAAAGTGAACAGTGCACAAGTTAGGGTAGTAGGTTTAAAACTGCCAGTCCCCAGGGTGATTTAAATATTTAAATCGCTGGTCCGCGAAGTGTAAAGAAGTTAGGCACTAACATGACAAAATTCTATGCCTAGAACTGACAAACCCTTTAGGCTTGTAAGTTTCTGCCCTAAATATAAAACTGAAACAGATGACCAAGACATTCTGTAAGAGAAAATTTACTTGAAGGTGATTTACAATATATTTTTACTTACTCTCCATTATTCTAGCACATACTTCTGAACCAATTCCACACTGTGGCCAACCTTGCTCAACTGTTATTAGATGGTTTGTTTTTATCACACTTTTTACTATTGTTTCTTCATCCAACGGTCTAATGGATCTCAAGTTTATGACCTCGCACTCAATCCCTTCCCCTGCAAGTTCCTTTGCTGCATCAAGTGAGAGTTCCACAGCCCTTGAATGTGCAACCAATGTTATGTGGCTTCCTGCAACAAAATTAGTACTGTACTGTTGTTGATTTGAATGCTAAGTGAGGAAAATCTGAAACGGAGAAGTTTAATACCAAGAATACTGACTTCATATCATTAGAACTGAACACTGTAGGATAAAAAACTTTAAATCAAGAAACATTAACGACCACATCTCTGGTCTAGTGGTCAGCGTTCCTGGCTACAGATCCAGAGGTCCAGGTTCGATTCCCGGCGCTACCAGATTTTACTGGACACTGCCATCTGAAAGGACACCTTTTCAAGTTGGGACCGACAGACGACCCAACTTGTAAAAGGTACCTACAGGGAAATGAATCAGCCGCACACATCCTGTGTGACTGTGAGGCCATAGCTTATTTAAGATTTTGTCACTTGGGTCAGTTTTTTATGGAACCAAGTGACTTTTATGACACCCCCATAAGCAGGGTCCTACACTTTATTAAAAGTGTATGATTAATAAAGGGCTAATCCAAGGGGAAGCACAATAGATCATTGAAGATCGCAGTGTGGGGGCGAGTTTTTATGGCCCATCCCTTATATACAAGGGTTGGATAAAAAGTAGTGGCAACACTGCTGTAACATGAAAGATGTGCGTCAGGTGGCACTAGTGCCATCTGTAGCTGATAGCAGCAGTTCAGTTGAAGTAGTGCAGTGAGTGACTCTGGCTTTGTTTCACTGAGTTGCATTGTGCATAGTCTTGAAGTGCTGGAGCCCACTTCAAGCGCCCTAAGAACATGTTTATGAAACAAGAACAATGCTACTGGATAAAAATTGAAGTTGCAAGAGGTCGTAGTGCAGAAAACTGTTATCAGGGACTGCAAGAAGCATGTGGTGATGCTGCTTTGCCATATCACACAGTGGCATGATGGGTGAAATTGTTCTGTGAAGGGAAGGATGCCATTCAGGACAGCCATCGTTCAGGACAACCCCATGTTGACAACCACACAATTCAGCTTCTTGCTTCTTTGCTGGATGTCGATCATCAATGGGCTGCGTGGGAGTTAGTTGCTGAGGAAGGCGTATGTCACAAAACCGTGCTCCATATTCTGCATGATATTCTTGGATACCGCAAAATTACAGCACATTGGTACCCCATACAATGTCCAAGGTGCAACAATGGCAACGTTATGTAATTGCACAGGACTTGTTGGACCAGTACCAGAAGGAAGGTGACAACTTCCTTGGAAGGATCGTCACTCTGGACGAAACTTGGGCTCGCTCATATGAACCGCACTTGAAGGGCCAATCAAATGAATGGAAGCATCCTGGCTCTCCTCGTCCAAAGAAAGTATGCCCTACACAGAGTAATGTGAAGGCAATGTTCATTTGTGTGTGTGTGTGTGTGTGTGCGCGCGCGCGCGTGCATGTGCATTGCTACATACAATAAAGTGGCTTCCCACTGAATTTTCAACAGGCCTTTTCCACTAGTTTATTTATAAGGATGTCCTGGAAATACGTCAAAAAAAAATTTTGGAGCATGCTGGGAAAGTGAAAATAAAGCAAAAATTTCCTATGAACACAGATCCTAAAAGCAACTTCTTGTGGTATCTTACAACAGGGACATAGTTTGGGGGGGGGGTTTGCCATCAAGAGGACAAAAAAAAAAAATAAAACCAAATGTAAATATTTTCATAAACTTTACACACAAAGCAAAAATTTCTTTGCATTAGAAACTGCCCGATGCTCTCAAGAACTTCAGGTTTTCCCCTTGTTTTGATAGCTGGGATGCTGACCTGGATCTTCAGGTATCCCCAGATGCAGAAATCACATGCATTCAACCCTGCAGATCTAATTGACCTGTGTATTGGGCTTCCACGTCCAATGCACTGAAGTCTGAGGATTTCATCCAGCATTTCCCTTACCACAAAGGGCATTGACCTGGACTGCCATCATGCACACTGTGTTTCTCAACCCAGGTGGCATATGCTCTAGGGCAGCTGGCAATGCATCTTGTAAAATCTTGTGGTACACTGTCCATTAACATGTTCCAGCAACTGATATAGGCTTATTATCTTGTCATAAACAACTCCTACTAATACATGGACTGAAAACTGCTTCTGATGGTTGAGGGTCTTAATGCACAGCAGTTCTATCATTCCATGTGTGAGCATAACTGAAGTTGAAGGTTCCATCCCATATGAAACAAGCTTCATTAGTGAAAACCAACCAAAACAAGGCTGTATCTTGAAAGACATATATTTGCAGATGTATGTTCAGAAGAACATTTTGCTTTATTTCCAACCTCTCAAAATGCTCCTTAGTTTTAGAGGTATTTCCAGGTCACTCTATATAAATAAAAGTAACTTTATTCAAATTTAAATTATCATTTCAGCATAATGTGCTTTTTCAGAAGAAACAGTCAAGATTACCAAAAATGTGAGGTAGTGACATTTCACTATACATTAAGGAACAAGTAGTCTCATACAAGTTTATCTTACCTGGGCGCTCTATTTTTGCCTTTCCTATTGGCACAAGAAAATCTTTAGACATGGCTTCATCTGATACAGGAAATGCAACACCATATAAAATCTCGTTCTCCAGTACCACAACTGGATCTGGGTCACGAATTGCTGCTTTTATCAAGCCTTTGTGATCTTCAGCTGTGTAGGGGGAGACCACCTGTAAGTTGTGTCCTAAAACTGAGTTTTCTTCCAGCTTCATAACCAGACGATTCATATTTATAAAAACTGTCATCACATTACATATTTTGTGTTCTAAGCAACTGCTAAGACAAACATAGGTGGATAATAATAAAATGAATCTTTTGAGGGGATGGGGTGGAATGGACTGGATTTATCTGGGTAAGGATTGGGAGCAGTGGTGGGCTCTTGTGAACATGGTAATGAACTTTCAGGTTCCATAAAATGTTGGGAAATTCTTGAGTAGCTGTACAACTGGTGGCTTCTCAAGAAGGGCTTAGTTAATTCATCAGCAACTGATAATTTGCAGGTTATTACCACAAATACCTTAACTTGGGACATATTCAAATAAAAAAGTGCAAAGCAGCTTTACAACTTTCAAGGCATATAGAAAAGTTATTTCATCATACAGGCATACAGAAAACTATATAATGTGGTAACAAATCAAACACAGAAACTTTCAGTGGCCACAACACTGCAAAATGGCTGAGAGGTGTAACAGCAGATATCCACTCAACAGCTGACAGAACCGTATGGTGTCCATAAAGTACAAATGCTCTTACCCAGACACTGTATGGATGCAGGAATGGAGGAAAAAAAAAATTATATGAAATTACAGTGCAACAGATGTGGTGCCCACTAAGAAAGACAAACCCCTCCCCTCACTGAAAAGGGGACCCCATTTCCAAACACACAAACGGTCTTGCAACAAACACAGATTAGGTCCTGAGCCCCAAAACCAAGAACGACTGTGCTGGTGAGAGTAAGCAGTGATTTACTGGACTGGACTGGACTGGAAAGTTAGTCAGAAGTCAGAGGTCAGAGTTGGCAGTTACAGCCTGAAGTTACAATGTTGGACGCTGCCACCAAGCAATGACTGGTGAACACGCAGCAGACTAATTAGACTTGGTGTTCACAGTAGTAATTTGTAGAGTGTGTAGATCTGTAAAACTGTTATAATTATTTGTAGTTACGAGTTAAAAGCATTCACTTATCCAATTATCAGTCCAAACCCCATGTCTGGTCATTAACAGGTGACACTACGAGGAACTACCTTCCATTACAATAAACAAGCATTAAATTCATATAAAAGTGTTCACTATTAAACTGACAAAAATCAATACCATTTATCATATAAGTAAACAATCAATATTAAGGCTTCAGTGTACACAGTTATTACACAGAGCCAAAGAAAATTAACTATATGCAACTTATTTAACATATGCTGCAAAGTCCTATTACAATGGAGCACTACATTAAGAGACTAAAATGAATCTGATTTCAAAACTCAATCACATATTTATTTTAGCATTTTTAATGTGATCTTTAGAATAAATAATTTAAGCATTTGTTTTTGTGTATACTGAACTGTTACTATCAAGAATAAAAGAATTTGGCAGCACAGCCAATTATAATTTAATTAAATATATTGTAGCGTGTTTTGTGTGTCACGCTACAAATAAGTTTACGCCGTTGTTTGATATAGCGAATTTACTCCGCTCGCTCACCTTACACACACCTTACAATCATTTGCTCTTGCAGTGTTACAATTACTGCTTACAATATCTCGGCAATACTGGACTGCCTTCTCTGGCGGTTTATAGCAGACTCCCTGTGCGAATGCATTCAACCCTGTTTTATAACCTCGGTCGCTACAAAGCAACGAACCCTCTGTTATAACCATGGAGACTCCTGTTAGAACTACAATAGAGCGATTGTTGTTTTCTATGCAACGGTCTATTCTAGCGTTTCCATAGAAGTGACTCTTCTGGATTCCCGACACGTTACAATATATTTATATATATATATGTAGACCTATAATTCAGGTGTGCGAAATTTCACTTAAGTATTACTGAGAATAAGAAACTTTGTTATAACCTTCATGTGTTCAGAAAACCATTAGTCACTGTTTGGCAATATACACAAGCATATGAAGAATTCCTATTTTGTCAGAATTTAACCAAAACTGGATTATGACCACAAATTTTAATTAATTTTCCAATAAGAGATTTCATGAAAATCATTTCTGTGGTTCCTGAGTCGTTTCATGTGTACAGACAAATAGATAAGGTGAATTTAATGGGTACTCCTCAGGTTTCTGAGTGTGCCTAGAAAGCGAATTTCCTTATGGACCATCTTTCATTTGTGGGATCAGAAAATTCTGTAGCATTTTTGAGGTACACAATTTCAGTGACACTTCTTTCCACTATGAAGAGGGCCATAAACCTTAGTGTTACTTATACCAAATACAAATATTCACACCTGAACAGTCACAAATGTGTTCCATGATCTCACTAGGACTGTTTCTTATTTGTTACTGAAAATAAGATATCTAGCCTTTATCCTTTTATATGTGGTCCATACAGAACATGTAATGCTGCAACTTTACTACCATCATTACAGCTGGAAAGACCCGCAATGTTCAGTTTTATTTGTAAATATTTTTAAACCACTTTTCACACTTCATTTTGTGGAATTCCAAATTCATTATTCTCCTTCCCATATTGATTTTCTAGGACTCTGAAGGGAAGCATATCCTCCCTCATCCACCTGTTTCTTATTCAAAGACTGACAACCTGTTTTCTTTGTGATACTAACACCATACTATCCCAACAAAGTTTCTATAAAACACCTAAATCAATGATCTACTATGAGATTCTTTAGCATAATGTATACAGAATGTTTCCTAAAGTTCTGTGGCAGACTTTGTTTCTTGAAATCAGAAAATACACTGAGCATCAGTAACACTACCAGTTTGCTCTGTATGAAGGTGCTACTTGGCATGTCATACTACACTTAACAGTGAGAGAAGTAATCATCATATCCATCTATTAAACATACTTCTACCCAATTAGAAGTGATCGATGTCCTGTTATAGGCACTAAAATTTGAAAGCTACTCTGTACTCACCATGTACAATTGTGTTGATATTTATGAATTAAAAATGATTAAACCCAGTTTCAATCCCTTGGAATTTTTGACAGTATGGGTTCTATACTGCCTGAAAATAATTCCAAAATAAAAAGTTTTTAATCTTTCAGAAATCTGACATAGTTTCAAAGGCTAGGTAAGCTCTATATTATAGCGAAGAACTGGCAGTCTTGCATCCAAGTCCCAAAATGCCACAATATATACAGTTGGGTTATAAAAACTGAACAGCCTTTCATTACACCACAATAATATAAGTGTTCAGGTCTGTTATATCTATACTTTGACTACACAGTAAGTAGTGATCTCTTATTTTCTTTAACCTTGTGCAACCAAACCACATTTCATAGGGTAATGTACGAGGGGCGTTCAAGTTCTAAGGTCTCAGATTTTTTTTCTCAGGACTGGGAGCAGATAGACACATGCGGTTTAGTTTAAAATACGTGTGCACTCTTTGTGAATGTGTGACAGAGATGGCAGCACTGTACAGAACACAGAACTCTAGTGGTGGCGGCGAGAGTGAGGAATGTTTTTGATACTTAAAATGGCAACGTTTTCGTTACACTAACAGCGAGTAATCATTCGTTTTCTCAACTTGCGTAGTGTGACACCCATTGAAATTCATCGCCAGTTGAGTGAGATGTGTGGTGATGGTGTGATGAATGTGAAAACTGTGCGCTCGTGGGTGCAACAGTTCAAAAAAGGCCGAACGTCGTGTGACAATGAACCAAAACAATCTCGGCCTCGCACCAGCCGGTCTGACATCATGGTCAAGCGAGTTGAGAAAGTTGTTTTGGAGGATCGCCGATTGAGTGTGGAAAACATCGCTTCCAAAGTTGGCATTTCCGTGAGATCTGTGCACAAAATCCTGCATGAAGACCTGCGAATGCAGAAAGTGTCCTCCAGGTGGGTGCCACGAATTCTTACGGACGACCACAAGGCTGCGCGCATGGAAATTTGCCAGGTGATGTTGACACGTGATGAAGACATGAATGGGACTCCACCAAAAAAATTCTGGGTAAGCGCCAATGCTGAAAAAATGGTGGCCATGTTTTGGGATAGCGATGGCACAATCCTTACTCATTGCGTTCCAAAGGGCACTATGGTGACAGGTGCATCCTACCAAGATGTTTTGAAGCACAAGCTCTTTCCAGTACTGCGAGAAAAACGGCCAGAAAGGGCTGCGTGTGTGCTCTTTCACCAGGACAATGCACCAGCGCATCGGGCGTACACTACGCAGCAGTTTCTTCGTGAAAACAACCTTGAAACGGTTTCTTATGCTCCCTACTCACCTGACCTGGCTCCTGGCGATATTTGGTTTTTTCCCCAACGATGAAAGGCACTCTCCGTGGTCGCACATTCACCAGTCGTGCCGCTATTGCATCAGCAATTTTCCAGTGGTCAAAAGAGACTCCTACAGAAGCGTTCGCAGCGGCCATGGAATCATGGCGTCGACGTTGTGAAAAATGTGTATGTCTGCAGGGAGATTGCGTTGAAAACTGACAAAAGTTTCAAATTTTTTTGTATGATAATTGTGTGAGAAAAAAAATCGGAGACCTTAGAACTTGAACACACGACGTATAAGCATGCGTTGAAATTTGTTAAATTTTCTATTCAACTACAGATTTAGCTTCATTTTATGTAGATATGTTCCCAATATTGTACTGATAATATAAATATCAAACAGATTGGCAGAGTCATGACATAGCCATGACATTCCTTTACCAAAAAACAAACTCCGTGGTGCAGATTACTAAGAGAAGTTCACACTTATTCAGCTGACCAAGAAATTTCACATGTTATGGAACCTGAAGGTTCATTCTCATGTTCACAAAAGCTTGTCATTGGACCTGTTTTGAGCCACTTGAATTCAGTGCACAACTCCACAACCTATTTCTCTAAGATTCAATTTAATATTATCTTCCTTCCTATACCTATGTCTCTCAAGAAATCTCTTCCCTTAAGGTTCCCTGACCACAAATTTGCAAGCATCTCATTTATCTCATGCATGCTACATGTCATGTCCCTTTAAACCTCCTTTATTTAGTAGTTCTTAACAATATTAAAATTGTCCCTATGCTTAATTAATTAAGCACTATACCATGAAGACCTACGCGGATGCGGAGGTATAGCTCCATGATTCTTGACCTCGGCACTAGATGGAGGTGAGTGGACAGGAGGCTGGGTGGGCCCCAGAGCCAGTGCAGATGCTGTGGAGTAGAAAAAATCTTGCTCCACCTGGGAATCGAGCCCCAACCATCCAGCCCATAGCCCGTTCCTATACCAACTCCTAGAGATAATTTGTGTTCTTCTTCTAATTATGTATTGTTCTAAAAAGCCAATCACTTTTTTAATTTCCTGAAACACTCAAACAAACAACTAAAATGCTTATAATGAAGAACAGTGATGTATAAACAAACATTTGATGGCCTTACCTTTAGTCCTGGGCAATGACTATACCAAGCTCCAAAACATTGTGAATGTTGTGCTGCAACACCTGCTGCAGCCCCATTTGGTCCACGGAAAACTATTGGCACATTCACCTACATAACATAAATGGTTTCCATCAGTTTTAAACATCGTCACACAGTATAAATATTGACTGTAGAGAATGTAATTAAACTAAACACAGTAATTTACATGAGCACACGACCGACACCAATGCCAATTAATAACGCAAGTATATACTCCAAGTGAAGAACTGCTACTAACAATGAATGTGAGGGAACTGCAGCTCCTCTGAAGACTTGTATACTTCAGTTTTCACAGACTACACCATATTCGATTAAAACTATAACCGATGAAACTGATAAGTGCATAATAAGGAGAAAGTGACTCTTTCTCACTAAGCATCCAGACATAGTGGCACAAAGAGCAGCTTAACATTTCATGAGGAAAAACACCACTGGGGAGAAGAAAAATTTGTGGTTTTCCATTGATGGAACTTTGCTTCATACACACTACACAGCCTGCATCTACCTGTAATATCATAATATAACAATGTACAACTGCACTGCCAGTCAGAAATTTGCAGCAGTTCACACTGGACAGAGAATCGGGTTCATATTAGGATCATTTTTAATGTATGACGACATGAAAAGTCGTCTGATTATCAAAATGAAATGGGCAAGTGCACACCACTGAAACTAAAAACTCCACTTTCTGACAAATGTCACTGATTTCAAGCAGGCAACTGGTTTCCACCTTAGCAGGCACGCACTGAAGAAACTTATGTTTGATTAGTTGCTCACATCACCTTATGCGGGTATGTTCGTCTGACGTAATGCATGGTTGTATATTTAATTTCATGCAATGAAAGATAACAATACTGATCCTGTCATAATATGGTGGTAGTTGAGACCGGTTGAGACGGCATGAGAAGAGAGTACAAAGACCATAAAGAAAATATTGGGATGTTAATTAGTTTGTTTCAATTAAAGTAAATTTATTTTAATCAGGAAACATCGCATTCACACATCATACGAAATTTTGACATACAATGCAACAATTGTAGCCAAGCCACACTGCGCTCATTGCTAGGCAGTGCTGCGGTAAACACATCTCGGAAGTAGCTAATCAACATGTTGCTGGGCAACGTCTCTGTAGATGCAACAATTCAATAACAGTAGAGCAAGCTGTGTTTTCTGCATATCCATGTGTGGGTTTATAGGAGACAGGTATTCCTAAAAAGTGAGTTCTCAATGAGAGTTCTCAGTGCGAGACAGACACAGGAGGTCCATAGTGGAAGATTTTATGTACAATACTTGTAGTGATTTCAAGTGAGTTTCTGTGTTGAGATCCGTTGCTAGGAGACGACTAGTGGAAACAGAGTATCCTAGTGCCTGTGCAATGGTTAACTGGAAAGTCTGTAAATCAACAATAGCACTGTATTGGATGTATTTAAGTGTGATAATGAGATTAGCGTAGACAGCCCGGGAAGGTTCAGCAGTTGAGAGTACAAGAATGAGAATGGAGCACATATAAATATGGAAGCAAGCACACCACATCTACACAAGTGAAGACAACACCACACGCTGCTAGAGGGAACAACACACAAGAAAGGGGAAAAATTACAGATTGCAGACATAACACAACAACAGGCTTATGAACAGAAAAAAGGCTGCTAAAATGAAATATCTGAAGAAAAGGATAGAGACAAAAACAGGTGCACGATGCCCCTTGTGAGGTGCAATATGATTTTTACAACATTTAAAGAAATTTTTAATAGATTTCATTTTATTTAAATTAAGTGGACTACAGCGTGTGCTATTTTAGTGCGTACCAGCTACAACTATGATGTTTTAAATCATGAAGTGTGCAGTCGCATATGTGATGAATGGACAATATTAGTGCAGTGTAGCAGTTTTAGCATAGTAAGACACCTGAAGATGGCCATTTAGGGCCGAAACATGTTATATCAAAAGTGAAAGTGAAAGAAAGATTGAATAATTCATTGCATTTTTGACGGACTGTGTAGTACATAAACAGTTTTAGATATAGTAAGGCAACAGGATGCTAAAATACAGGAATGTGAATTGTGAAGACTGAGTACAGCTATGGACAGAAGAGTTATGAGAGAGAAATAGTAGCAGCAGAATCATGAGAAGAGGTCAAGTTGGAACTAGAAGTGACAGTGAGTGTGTGTGACACAGTCAGCTAGAGTTACGAGATAGAAACAGAGCCAATAGAAGCACGCAAACAGAGTGAATTGTAACCAGGTCAGCCTGTGAGAATTTAAAGTGTGATTTCAAGACTTTATGTGTGCTATAGTGCAGTGGGATTCAGATTGTGCAATTCAGCGAGTACTGTATAGCTTCTGTGTTATAAATACGTGAAAACTAATTCATATAGATTGAGAAGATTAGCATGTAGGGATTATAAATTGTGTAAACCCACAATAATGTAATAATTAAGTGTAGTTACGACTACTGAAGATTCAATAAACAAATTAGCAATCCGTACCCCAGCATCTTACTCACCCAAATATATGACAATACATTTTTCTATGGAAAGGGGAATGAGAATCATGAATTAGGTACAGGGTTTTTCATACATAAGAGATTCATATCGGCAGTTAAGAGGGTAGAGTTCGTTAGTGATAGGATACCATACATAATATTAAGAGGTCACTGGCGTGATCATTTTGAATGTTCATGCCCCAACAGAAGATAAAATTGATAATATAAAGGACAGGTTCTACGAAGCACTAGAACATGTACTTGATAAATTGCCAAAGTACCATATGAAAATTTTGTTAGGAGATTTCAATGCCAAAGTAAGTAGGTAAGACATTTTCAAACCGACAATTGGGAATGAGAGTTTGCATGAAATTAGTAATGATAATGGAGTCATAGCAGTAAACTTTGCCACATCAAAAAATCTTACTATCAAAAGTACAATGTTCCCACATCGTAACATCCATAAATTTACTTAANCATATGAAAATTTCGTTAGGAGATTTCAGTGCCAAAGTAGGTAGGGAAGAACTTTTCAAACCAACAATTGGGAATGAGAGGTTACATGAAATTAGTAATGATAATGGAGTCATAGTAGTAAGCTTTGCCACATCCAAAAATCTTATTGTCAAAAGTACAATGCTCCCACATCGTAACATTCATAAATTTACTTGGACGTC